ATTTACGGAGGTAAACTTTATTCTATTTCATTTCTCAAACGGATCACCTAAAATTCAGAATTTTTTTTTTTAATCAAAAATTAGACTCCTTACATGGTAAAAATAAGTCCCTGAAATTTTTAGGTCAAAAAAAAATTTTTTTGTTAAAGTTATAAACAATTGAAATTTTTTGCAGTCTTATTTTAAAAAATTTTTTTCTCGAGTTCCTGTTCACCAATTAAAAAAAAGAGGGGTTTTTCTCGTCTTAAAATGTAGTTTCTAAATATAATTTTTATTTTGAAAAAATTTCATATTTACTCTCTAAATCTGAATTAGTAAAAGTGTTTACTAATTTGAATTAGTGACTCACTTTTTGCTTATGAATTAGTAAAATTTTACTAATTATTAGTAACTTTTACTAACAATTAGTAAAATTTAACTAATTCTAAAGCAAAAAGTGAGTCACTAATTTAAATTAGTAAACATTTTTACTAATTCAGATTTAGAGAGTAATAGATTTTTATATTATTTATTTATAAAATGTTATTAAAAAATAGTGTTCTTGACGTCCTACAGAAAATTAAATTTTTTTTTGTTGAATTCCCCACACAATTTTGTGTAAGAAACCGTTGAGAAAAAAAATGAGACTAAAAAAAAAATTTCTGAACTTTAGGTGATCCGTTTGAGAAATTCTGACTCCAAAAGTAATTTTTTTCAATTTCCGAAGCAAAATTCACACCAAAGATGCGCCGAAGTTTTTGGACAGTTCAGGTTTTATTTTTCAAGTAGTAAAAGTTATTTTATATTTTTTTATATATTGTTTTTTTCAGTGAATTCACGGAGAAAAATAAATTGTTGTACTTACTAAACCTGGAGCTAACAAATTTTATTTGATCGCTTCAACAAATTTTTTAGTTGCTACAACAATACAAATTTGTTGAAAGGAACAATAAAATTTTGTTGTAACTAACAATTCACTGTAAGGAACAATAAAATTTTGTTGTACCAACTAAAAATTTGTTGTAGGGAACAATAAAATTTTATTTGTAACTAAAAATTTGTTGTACTGACAAATATTATTGTTAATGCAACAATACAGATTTAGCGACTAAACAAAATTTGTCAGTTCCAGATTTAGTAAGTAGGTACAATTTTTCTTTGCGTTGTTATTTAGCAAATTTCAATTATTTGTAATATTATAATTATAAAAATTCTTTCTTCTACTTTTTTTTTACTATAGCAAATGCAAATGTATAACACTATATGATAACGATTGGCTTACTAGAAGGTATATATATATATATATATATAGGGAATATGGACATAGAGAAATCCATGTAGGTCGCATGTACTAATGGATATCATGTACAATAACAATGTACAAGAGCGACAGTTTCCAGGAGGAGAATAAGGGAAGGGGGGGAGGGTAAAAGGGTGTCAGAGGGGGTGAGAGAGGGTGAAACATAGGTTGGGAGGGTAGAAATAGGACTGATCACATAACGATAGTCACGACGCGTTAACACCACTCATCATAATTCAGGCGGTGCTGCAATCAGTCAGGTTCCCACGTCAGGTGCTGCTTGACAACCTCCCCCTTATGGGCCATATGCCTATATAATGTAGAAAGCATTTCTCATGATAATACATTTTTTTTTACTCCAAAACGAATATAGGAAAAAAGGGTAGACGAGAAAAAAAGAGAAAGAGAGAGAAAAAAAGAGACTTTCATGATCCATTAGAAAAATATTTTGATACATTACATAACGGAAAATAAAATACATTTCACATTTGAAAAAACTTGTTTTTAGAAATATGTTTTTCTTTTAATTAAATTTATAATACAAGTTTTAATTTACTATTTTTTTGAAATATGATTTATTTGAGAAAGCAGAAAATTACAATTAAAAAAATATTTCCTGTAAGATATAAATTTTGTATTATTTTTTTTTGATAATTTTTTTGTATTCTCTTTAATAGAGAATAATTGTTTAATTCTATATAATTTCATGTGATTTTAAAGGTCTGTTAATATTCTACTATTTTCTCTATAATAGTTATATATATATATATATATAATCTTCCTCCCACGTGCGCGCGACGGAAACAAAATCGCCCCTCTTTCTTATTTGCAAATAACCGTGATCGAATATCTTGGCAATTTTTAATCCACTGTTTCTCCGATTCGCTGTCTAGTGAAACCTGTCTTTATCAAAGGAATTCTGAATTTGAAAAATTGATCTGAATATCATTCCAATTATCGCACTGTGCGTCTCTATAAAAAGGAACTTCAAAGACAAAACAAAAAACAGACATGACACGTATACATTTGAGAATGTTCAAAATTCACATATTTTAAGCTTCAACCCTATTATTTTCAATATCGGAATCTTGTACTCTGTATTTATCGTAGTAATTTAAAAAAAAATGACATAGGAAATATTTTCATATCCATTTTTTTTAGTTGTATTGTAATTTTGTCATGAAATTATTAAAAATAAAAATTGTAACCTTATAGGTAATTTTATTGAAAATTATACCAGAATCGGTGACTATTACAAGAAAATTAAATTTTTTTAATTATACAGAAATGATAATTATATTCACACTGAAAAAAATTTAAATAATCGGTTACTTTATTATTAAATAAATATTTACTTGAACCAAAATAGTGAAATTAACAATAGGATTTAATTTTCATGAATATAGTTCTTTAATGAGAATTTAGAACCTTGAGTATACAAATCCCAAAGGTCGACGCATTTCAGGGTGAAGTTATACGAGTTGAGAGGGAAAAGCGGCGGATGATGGGAAAATGTGTGACACCGACTAAAATAGGAAGATGTCTCTCCTTTCCTTTAAATAGTTGTGGGAATGTGACACTCGCAGATCTTTGTAAATGCACTTCACTGAAAACTTGAACATTTTTTTTTCCAAAAGTATGTCTTTTTCAGTAAGATTCAACGATATATATTGAAAATTCGAAACTATTTTCCCTCTCCCCGAATATTATGTTTTTTAAAACAAAAACTTGAAAAAATATCTTCTAAAATAGGTGCGCAAGTATATAAAAATTCAAATTCACCCCCCGCCGACTTTATCGATATTCATGTATTCAACGCTCTCTAAATTATTCTTAAATTGAAAGAAAAGAAGAAACGAGAAACAATCTGCAAAAAAAGGGAAGGATAAATTCTATTACTTTATATTCTTTCTTCAATATCTTCTTCTTATTTTTCTTATATTCGGAAGAATTATTTTCTATTTTGAACACAAAAATTGAATTTCATTTAAACAATATAATTACAATTACAATTGTAAATAATTTCAAAAATTAGATATAATTCTCTATATGCAAAAAAATATCAATAAATCAATTACTTTAAATTGTATGTTTAAGTGGGCGTATAGAAAATAAAATTAGAAAAAAAAAGTGAAAAATGATTAAAGAGAAGAAAGACTTTTATTGCCGAATAAGGATGAGTATATTCACACAATGGAAATAAATGATTGAAGAGGAGAGTAATGAAACCTCTCGGAATATAACGATACGCGTCGCGATTCAAATGAATCAAATCTCGTTTCTTTTGCGCATATATATAAATCACAAAAGAATTTACCATTCGCTAAAAATTTATTAATGAAAAAAAAAAATTATTGATCTGTAGTGACAGGTGGAATCAGAAAGACCAAAAAGTGGAACGTTTTACCCCATTCCCCCCCACTCCTCTCACGTCGCGTATATAAGGGTAATAATAGGTGTTCATTGTGTCAAGATGACAGTACCACCTGGTGGTCAATACGAATGAAAAATGGCTATTGGAAGTGTACACCTCCTGCAAAGGCAATTATTTTTTATATATATAAATTATATATATATATATACGAATGCTTTTTGAAATTTTCTTGCTACTTTGATATAATTCATCCCACTTCCGGAAGTCACTATCTTCCTGGGTTGTGTCCGGATCCCTTTTTTTTATATCACTAAATGAGCGGATACTAAAAAAAGAATCAGAGAAAGAAAGTGGAAAATAATAGAGTGAAAGAAACAGTTGTATAACCGCAAAAAGAAGAGGTTGCGTGTATTAACGTAAAATGTCACAAAAAAAAAGCGGATGCAAAAATTTCAAATATTTTTCCCTTTTTTTTAGTGTAAAAAAAATGCTATTTAAAAAAAAATTATACATAAAAAATCGTTTTCAATTAAAAAATTAAAAACAAATTTTTTAATTTTTTTTTTCAATTATCAAGAAGGAGGAAAAAAGTTTTAATAAAACATATATTTTTCTTTGTATACAAAAAAAGGATCATTATATAAAAATGATTGATTTGCTTCTTATATAAATTTTTAAATACTCTCATTGAAATTTGTTAAACGCAAATCTATATTCCACGAATTTGTTATCAGAATCAGCAATAATAGCGTCTTTAATGAGGTCTGAAGAAGATGGTCGATTTAATATTGTATAAGCATCATCATTATCGATTTAAATGCCATGCCTATTAGAGCGTAATCAAAGGATCTAACTATTTATGAACTTGTCGATAATTACAACAACATAAAGCAGGTCAGGTGTTAATAACCGCAAAATACTATTTTTTGTTGTTGTTGTTGTTATTGAAATAATCACTTTTTCATGTTTACAAATTATTCTCTCATTATGCATAAATCTTGGAATATTGTTATCTAAATATTTGTAATTGCAAAGGGATTATACTAATGAATTAATGAGATCAATGTAATCCTCTCTCAGTAAATTAAATGGTAAATTCTACAGAATTTACAATATATGACAATGTATGTAATTATTATTCTAATTTATTTATAATTTTTATTATTTTATTTTCTCATTATTTATATAATAGTTTATCATTTATTTACAATAATTTCTAATTTATTTGCAATAATTTAATTATAATTTATTAAGCAATGATAAAAATTTTATTTTTAGCGTGATTGAAATTGTATTTAATTAATTTTTTGTTTTTTAAAAAAAATTATGAATTCTTTTTTTTTCCAGGTTCCTTAGGCACGTCGGTGTTTGATACAGACGTTTACCTCGTAGGCGCCAGCGGTGGGGTTTATGCTCTTCTTGCAGCACATCTTGCCAATGTTCTCCTTAACTATAACAACATGGAGTTTGGCATAGTTCGCCTCATCGGCATCTTCATTATCGGTAAGTAAACAGCCTCCAGCCATGTTTCTATGTACCATAGATACTTCACATCCTTTCCACCTTATAATATCCATAACTACTTTAGCATTATATGTGCACATAATGCACGTATGACATCATATATAATCTATGATACACGTGATATATCATTTATTTTACACTATATAACATAATAATATAGTAAGAGACTTTTTTTTTGAAGCGGTGAAAATCAATAAAGACATTTATTTTATTAAAAATTGCATTGAAAAGAATAATTTATTTGATTCAAATAATCGGTTACTAGGCTTGAATATTTACTATTACTACTCTCTAAATCTGAATTAGTAAAAATGTTTACTAATTTAAATTAGTGACTCACTTTAGAATTAGTTAAATTTTACTAATTGTTAGTTAAAGTTACTAATAATTAGTAAAATTTTACTAATTCAGAAGTAAAAAGTGAGTCATTAATTCAAATTAGTAAACATTTTTACTAATTCAGATTTAGAGAGTATTTAATATTTATTTACTAAGTTATTAAATAAATATTTATTTGTTTTAAATAATTATTATTTAATTATTACTTGACTCGAAAAGAATGATTGCAAATATTTATTTAATACGAATTAATATTTTTATTTAATAATGTTACCGATTATTATTAATTTTTTTTCGATGTGTGAAAAATATTCTTTTTGTGTCTCGCAAAATTTATACATTAAAATTCAGGTTAAATTTAATTTTATCTACTCAGATCCAGTAATTATGGTTTCAATAGAAGGAATATTTAAATACCATCCATATAACACTTTGTTGAAACAGAATATATATCACAAATAGAATTTTCTGTATAACCTTGTGTATACACTGAAAATTGAAATTACTTTCTTGTTTTTTATTTGTAAAAGCAAAAATAAGGGATGTAAAATATTCATTCGTTTTGTCGATACAGAGGGGTTATGTGTATTAATTTTCTTTATATATATATATAAAAATATGCATTTGCATTCTAATAAGATTTTTTTACACTCATTTCATTCGAGGCGAAAGGCAAGAATCCATCGTAAACTTTAATCCTGGGCATATTGCTTTGTGAAGTGTGTTTCATTGCCGTTCCCTCCTCAACTCAATAAAGTAATAAAGTTTTATTAACAATGTAAATTATAGCTTCTTCTTCTTCTTTAGAGAAACTGAAAATTAACTTTTTTTTTAGAGTGTATATCGTTATTATATTAAGAAAATACCTAATTTTAACTTATTAATTAAAAACAAATTTTGATTCAAAAATTTAAAATTTTTAAATTAATTTAAAAATTATTAATTTTTACTGAATAATTAAACATATAGAGGGATAAAAATCGGGAGAACGTATATCTGTTTATATATATATATATATATATCGTTAAATACAAGCTATACGATAAAGTGCATCAGTGTTTTTATTAAAGTGTGAAGCATCTCCCAGAAAAAGGGAAAATTTATGCAAAAAGTTTTTGAAATTCTAAAGCTATTGGAAATCAAGGCATGTTTAGTAATAAATCAATTTACAGGATTATAAAGTTCATCCATATTTAACGTTATTAGTGTTTTGAATATTTATCGCGTCCGGTATAAAATGTTTTCCTCGATAATTAATTTCATAAAGTTTGAATACTTTTTTTTTTTTTTGTTATATGTTAAAGCGAAATCAAAAATTAAGTAATTTTAATTTATTTTTGTAACAAAATTATTACAAAATTATTACATTATCGATAATTATATCTCGTGTTTATTTCAATTACAACAATTATTTAAGAAGAGAGAGAGAGAGAGAGAAGTTATATTTCAGTAGTAGACTTTCGTTTTAGTCAAACCAGTTGTGGGGGTCAACTCTTTTAAATATTTACTCATCAATTAGCGTTCATATTGCAAAGACTGTCAATCCGAATGAATTTTTCAATTTCCGCTTCACAACAAACTCATATTCTGTTTGCCCGATGTTTCAATGCAAAAATTCTTTTTTTTTTTTTTTTTTCATAGTCTCTTGATGCTTTAAAAGCGCATAAAAACACAAATTCTTTTATGCATATAATGCATTTTCATTATTATTTCCGGTAAATCGTTTATAAAATTTTTATTTAAATAATTTTCAATATATTAAAAATATTTTTTATAAAAATATTTATTTTAATTTTTATTGTCAAAAAAAAAGAGAATTTCTATGTAATTTGAAATTTGTCGTATGTGAAATGAACTTGGAACTATTTCCATATTCCAAGTGGAATTAATGCATTCAAATGCTTGATTAATAATGAACAATTAAAAAAAATTACTCAAGCATAATGGAGAAAAGAATAATAGCTCGTATCTCATTTGTTCGAAGAATAATAATTTTATTATTCAATCATTAAAATTCTTTTTAGAGAGAAATTCTCTTTTCGCGGTGAGATGTCATTTGTCGTCTGGGCGTTATAGAATAAAACTGTCAACCGAGACAACAAAAGGGAAACCCCTTAACTTTTTTTTTAAGAGATGAGACATCATCCCTTGTGCCGAAAGTTTTTAATTAAAAGATAGTCATGTGATTTGCTGACTTGGCGTCTATGAGAAACGAGGCGAAACAGAGGGAGAAAAAGAGAGGAAAAAAAAGGCTTTAGATGTCAGAAGATATAATACTGGTACATATATATATATATACAGTTTGGACTTGAAATCTTTTCTCTTCTATATACGATGGGTACGGGGCATAAATTGCGAAATGCGTCAACCTACGATGTCCGGTTTGTAATGGAAAAAGATACTATCATCATATGGGGGGTTGATGAAGGTTGAAACGGACGAGATTTTCAAAAGTATTTTGTCGGGAGTTGAATCTTGAAAAATTTTTCTCCTTTTGATCAAAAGATTTTTTTTTTATATCGTATTTTTGTATAGGAAAAAATGAAAGAAAATCAATTTGATTTTTAAAACAATGTTATAAATTTACAGGAATTCCTACATATATATATATATATATATATACAAATATATTAAGGGATGAATAATCTTTTTTAATTTTGAAAACCTATATTGATTCTTTGTGGGACGTAATTTATATGTTTAGGAAGGTGAGGTGGTAGTAAATTTATTCCAGAGGATTGAAGATTTATTAGGCTCGCCTACGTGACTTATTTGCATTCGGTTTAATTAAATTTGATTCAGCTAAATAAATTAGTTCAATGAAAGAAGTGTTTCTCTCGGTAGTTTTAATTAAATTAAGGGCGGTCCTAAAGTTATTTCTCATCCAAATATTTAATGACTTTCAAAGCCCACCGATGTTTTATGTTTGTGGTATTAAATTTCGTCTACTTGCAAACATTTATATTTCACCTTTACATATAAAACATTTGAATTAAAAATTTCATTTTTTTTTTCACAAAACAAAAAAATAATTCTTATCAATAAAAATTATAGAATTAATTAAAGGTGCAATCAATTTCTTTTTTTCAAAAATGTAAATGTAAAGTATAATAAAAACAAAATTTAATTACGTAATTAAATCGATTGGTTTTGATGTAAAGTGGTCAATTTTTGTTTTTAATGAAAAATTTACACCTTTAGTTTGTCGATGATCGCTTCAAAGTAAACGTAACCATAAAAAAAAATTTCCAGTTTCTCTTGGGTATAAAAGAAAATTTGAAGATAAAAGGCTCGTGTTAAGAGTAAACTTGGACCGTTTGCTATTTGCTTACAGCAACCCCACTATGTATATCGAAAGGGGGAAAGGGGTTCTTAGAACCACGAGGCTACCGCTATATTATATATATATATATATATATACACTTGGCTCAAAAGCTTCTCGCTCAGCGATACTTAAAGGCTTCCACGAGAATAGCCTTTTTCTCTCTTTTTTCTTTTACTTTCTTTCATCTCTGTCTCTCATTCTCAATATGGCGCTTTTTTCTTCTGCCATCGTTTAATCTCTCTCTCATTTTTTTTTCTCTTTTTTCTTTTTTTAAAAGCATTTTTACAAATGAGACCATTTTCTGATACAAATCAAAGTGAAAATCAACACAATATTGTAAAGAAAGGTAAATTAAAAATAATCTTTCTTTTATTTAATTATACAATTTAATCTATCTTTTGTCTCTCATCAAAATTAAATTCAAAATTAAAATTTTTTAATATTTTGTATAAAAATTCTAAAAAAAAAAATATTTTTTATATTATTAAAATTAATGATAAATATTGTCCTTTCTATGGTATTATATTCTTTATGTTAAATTATTTTTTTATTATTCTCTCTCTCTCTCTCTCTTCTTTTTGTGGGTAATGCGAAGCTTTTGCTTTTAGCGGGAGAAACGATGCGATTTTTTTTTCTTTTTTTTTTTAGGAGATTAGTTGTAACTCCATCTTTATTGTTTTTAGCCAACGGTGTATGAAGGGGAGATTTTCAGAAGCTTTACATTAGTGTATTTCTTTCTTTTTTTTTTTTTTGCCCAGAGAAAGCAGTAAAACTTTGTTAATTTTTTACTTCTTTTACCGCATGTATTATATTCTATAAAACATATAGAATGGATTTTTGAAAAAGATTTATTTTTCAAAATATATAGAAAAGTTTTCTAGTATTATATATATATATATATATGCGAAATTCGTAGCGGCGTCCTTTAGTTTGAAAGTAACCAAGGGGATTTAAAAAAAAAAGGTTTCTTGTCTGCGAAAAGTGCGCATACACAATAAAATATTCCGTCGTAGGCTTTAGAATATTTTTAACTTAAATCAGTAATCCTTGGGGGGATTTGAAGATTTTTTTGTCATAATTTTTTAGCCTCCTTTTTCTTTTACTGAAAGCTACTTTTAATATTTTATAGAGAAATACGGATTTATTTAAATGGACATTGAAAGAAAGAAATTTTTTTTCTATATAATATGATTTTTGGCCAATTTCCAAAATCTATTTATGAAAATTTATCAAATGCAGAGAAATTCATTTTTAATATAAAACTTTTATTTTTGAATAAAAAATTTATTATCAATAATTAATTTTTATAAATTGG